ATTAATACATAAAATTTATTTTTATATAAATATATATTATTTTCTATTCTGTTAAACATTTTTAATTAATATGCTTTACATTAAATTCTTGAAAATTAACTTTCATTTAGTGAAGGTTTCGGTTTACTATTAACTTGTACGTATTTGAGCAATAATTTGTCATTTGTTCCCTTTTACCCCACAAGCAGGGTAAAATGTCCTATTTTTAATTTTAAAGAAATTTTACGAAATAATAGCTACATTCTTTTATATATACATCAAATTTTTTATTCGTTTAAATTTAATTCGACCATGTTTTACATTAAAATTAACATTTCATCTTATAAAAGAATTAAATAACAAATTTGTGTCGAACTAACCATAACCCTAACTATATATAAATATATCTACTTCAAAAATTTTGTTTTCAAATTATTACATTTACTACTAAATTGATCATTTAGGAATATTTCAAATTTATATCTGAACATGCATTTTTTCTATTAGCAAACTGTTTCATTAAATATGTTTTAGACAAAATTCCAATCTTTACATTCAAGGCCCAGAATATGAAGTGGAAAAAATCAAATAAAATTTTTATTTATTTCATTTAATCAAATAAAATTAATTTATTTTTTATTTATATATGAATGAGTACCTAAAAAAAACTCTATGGATATATGAATAACAACAATAATAAATGGTAGCCTGTCTGGAAGTAGCATCATGGTGTGAGATCACTACAAATTAATGATCATCTTTCCATTTTTTGATTATTATTCTTCCCAATCCTATTTATCACTTTTTTATTCAATTTTTATGCATTTTCTTTTCCAAATTTGTGCTGCTATGCTTCCTGGCCCTTCAGTTTTCAGTTCCCTGTATTCTCGCGCAAGTCATCAATCATCTGCATTCTTCTTCCTCTTTGTCCTTTTATTCTTTCTATTTTACCTTCCACGACGTCGTGCAGGAGGCACTTATTTTGCAGAATGAGTCCAATCCAGTTTCCTTTTCTTTTCAAAATCGTGCTCAATAGAATCCTTTCTTCGCCCACTCTTCTCAGGACTTCTTCATTTGTTATCTTGTCCGTTTACTTTATCTTCGCCTCCAGAACCGCAATTCAAAACTCTCCAGATAATTTTTGTAGATCTTTCTTAGAGTCCATGTCTCTGATCCATAGAGCGAAAAAGTAAAAAAATACGAGCAGTCAATGAATGCATGTTAATTTTAATTACATAAAGTTTTTCAAACACAATTACATGATGAGTGAAGTTGCAAAAACAATATTTGTTTAGGCGTTGTTTAACATAATTCACTGTGTGAACGAATATTATAGAAGTTAATAATCAGCAATTACTTCATTTCTCTGAAAAAGGTTTATTTTTAAATGCTAATTACAATGACAAACCGATCATGTCATATTTGAAGTATGACTTGAATTACATTATTGTTTTTAAATATTATACATATTTTTGATGTGAATATATGCAAATAACTAAAATACAATAAATTTTAAGTTTCAAACTACCAGCATTCCACCTAATGAATAATACTATTTTTCCTTTTCGCAAATATTCCTTTTCCTATAAAATGATTTCAGTGTATTCAAAGCGTAGAGCATCGTATCATGAATCAGCCCATTGCAATCACGATAGTTAGTCAATAAATATGAACTTTCCTCGTGTTAGTTCCCATCTATTTAACATTCAATTGAATTTTCCAAGTTGGAAGTTTTACTTTAGGAAATTCTGCATTTTCTCTCTTTTGCTCATCGGAACACCAGATGTTTTCAAACTTCGTTCTACTTCAAAGTTAGCCAAATAGTTGACAGCGTGGGTAATTGTTTCTGAGACAATGGTTACTATTTTTTAAATATGGATTGGGATAAAATGTAATTTGATGATGAGATATTTTACTTTCAAACTCTCTCTAGTATTTAATTATTATATATTGCATATTTTTCTAAATTTTAATTGATCTTGAAAGTAATTTTGATTCATGCTCTTGAATTTAATGATTTTTGGGCTCAGCATTAAAAACACGTTTACTATAAAATTTTATATATATAGATATCATTTTAATATTATGGAAGTTTTGGTCATTATTATGAACGTTTCTAGTATTCGAAATATACTAAACTTGAACATCCGTCAATGTATACCTAATACCTTTTTATGTGTTGTTAAAATTCTAATATTATTTTTGTCTCGAACCACTTTCATTATTTATTGAATATAAATAAGTTTTCCGTTTGGTTTTCAATTATATGTACCATTCCTTACAATTCTGCCTTATTTGAATATTTTGAAAATTTTTGCCGTCATTAAGATAGTTCCTTTTTATTCTTTATATCGACCATGATCCGAATTATAATAAACTTAAATATGCACCATTTTATATACATTTTCAAATATAATTTGGAATGTGTATACTCCACCTGAATCTTCTTATGCGCATTTTAGAATTCAAAAGTTATTTTTGTCTTGAACCAGTTCGATTATTTTTTAAAAATTAATTAGTTTGCCCTTTGGGTTATAATTATACCTACTATTATAATAAATTTTTGATCATTTATTAAGCTATTTCAAATGTTTTTGACAATATTAAGATTTTTTCATTCATTATTTCAATTCTGCTCCATATTATAATAAACTTAAATATCTACCGATGCATATATAATTTCCAGCGTATATATTACCCATTTCGATTTGCTATAATTATTTCTCTGAATAATATAGTATAAAGACTATAATAGTATAAATATTCAGAATGTAATTTGCAATATGTATAATCTCACTATATCTTCTTAGGGTTATTTTAAAATTCAAATATTAATTTTTGTCTTGAACCGCTTTTGTTTATTTATTAAAACAGCCTTGATTAATAAGTTTTCATTTTGAATTCTATATATGCATTATTTTTTCCATTTTTTTTAAAAAAAATTATAAGTAGTGAAACTTGTATACTAAATCCAACGTAGACAAAACTCTTTCTTATTGTTAGTTCATATCTGTCTTATATTAATATTTTAAATTTTTTTATCATTATTAAGATTATTTTATTCCTTATATCAATTATGGTAATAAACTCAAATATCCATCAATTTATATGAATTTTCAAATATAATTTGGAATATGTATACTTCTAATAAAACGTTTTTGTCTTGAACCACTTTTGTTTATATCATGGTATTAAATTAATAATAAAATTTGCAGTGTGTGGGTCATAAATGTATTTCAATAAATTTTTACATAAAAAATATTTTTTCTTTATATATAATACATTTTGCATCTTTCTCACCTTAATATTTTGCCACTATTGAGACTGATATAAATCCTATTATTTTTATATTGAATTTTGTCCAATTAAGTTAAACTTAAATTTCTACTAATGTATATTAATTTTCAAATAATATTTGGAATATATAGGTATTAAAAAAATTAAAAATAGTTTTTTGTCTTAAACCAATTTTATTTATGAAAAATGAATAGTTAATAGTTTAAGTTTGTAGTTTGGGTTATAATTTTATGCATACTATTTTTCCTGATTTTTGCGTATTTTTTATAATTAATGAAATCAGTAAAGAAAGCAATATCCAACGTAGAAAATACGTTCATATCTATTGTTTTATTATTTTTTATATCAAGTCTAGTGGGAATTCTAACAAACTTAAATATCCAAATATATATAAATATTCAAATATAATTTGGAATATGTATACTCTAATTCAATCTTGTTATGTGTTTATAAAAAAAATGTCTTGAAACTTTTTATCTATCAAACTCTGTTGTTTAAACGTAACTATAAATGCATTATTTTTTATTTTTCTATATTTTTAAATTTTTATTAAGAAATATGGATATTACAATATCTCTTCTTAAGACTTAACAATTTCTCACGTGTTTGAACAAAACTGTATATTGATTTTCATTACCTTATATTTTCAAATTTGTGACAAGTAGATGGATATTAAAATTTCTCTTGATGAAAATTTACAACAATCACTCATGTGTTTGAATTAAAATATATATTAATTTGTATTCTATATTTACAAATATGGATACAGTACTTCTTTATATTAAAGACTTAGATTAATTTTTGAACTGAACTTTTATAAGATCCGTATATTTTGACTGAATATGATTCCCTTCTTCATCTACGTCTTTTTTGTCACAAGAGGTTATATTCTTGGCCCTTGATTTTGACTTGCACCATTTTGACCTCCTTTTTTATGTAGATCTTGATGTGCATTTGGATCCAAATCTGGATCTTCCATATTTCGCACTTTGACAACACTTTTCATTGAGAAAGACTTATTCTAAGCTAATGGATTTTCTATGTATGTATTTATTAGAACCGATATCATTTAATATATTTGCTTCATATCTTTCTTTATTTTCATCAATTGAACAAAAATTAATTGAATTGCAATGTAAGTGGTTTATATCGTATATATTTCGTTCAACGATTTTCTGATTATTTAAATTTTTTGAACAAGATTCAATAACTGTTTTGTCTTCCACATCGTTATCATATGTTTCACTTGAAAGAATTTAACCAGTATCATTAATTGAAAACTATTTTATCACTAGCAGAACAAGTTTTTGAGAGTTGATATAGCAATGAACTATTATTCACTATTGAATTTTCTATCGCAATTTTTAATTTTAAGAGTTGTTAAAATGATTCCTTGAGTAACATTCAAAATGTTTCCAACAGTTGTATTATCTGGGTTTCCTACATAATTAGGCACTTGTTCTTTTGTCAATGTATCCTCTAATATGCTTTTTTAGAGAAATCAAGTCAAATTTTGAAGATTTCAGAATTTTAAAATTTCACAATGCTCGCGAAGATACAAACTATCAGAGATTTTCTGCTTATTTATCTATTCCTAATTTTTGTATGAACATTTATGTTTCTTGAATAAAATCATTTTTAGATTATCACATGTTTCTTCAGAACTATTTTTTTCATCAACTGGAAGTTCATCTTCTTGATCTAGATCCTTCTTTTTGTTATAGATCTGGAATACGTTTGGATCTAGATTTGGATTTTCTACATTTCACACTTCGACAGCACCTTTTTGGGTAAGTCTTCTTATAAGCTTCAGAATTACTAACAGTTTGTAATTGTAATGGAATGATATATTTTGATTGCCAATTATAAGCATTTGTAATAATATTGTACTTCAAAGTACAAGAATTTGGATCTTTTTTTAAACAATGGTTAAAATATTGGAGGTAGGAAACGCAGGTGAAATTTTTAATATTTACTTTATTCAACTGAAAATAATACGACTATCATATTTAATTAACTCTTTTTACTGTCATTATTACTTTTTACTTTTTGAACTTTTGCTAAAATTCTTAGTATTTTGTAACACAAGTCACATTGTCAAATAATATGTTCAATTATAATTATTTATAATATACTTTTCTTGAAACAATAGTCTAGATATCGCAGGAAACTAATCCTGGAAAAACTTTTGTTATTTACTTTATTTAAATAAAAGTATAAGACTATCACATATTTTAATTCACTCTTTTTTACTGACATGTTTATTCATTACTTTTCACTTTTCAAACTTTTGATGAAATTCTTCATATTTCATATAAAATGTCACATTCCTATCATCTTTTTAAAAGATATTTTCAATTATAGTAATTTGTAATTATATTGTACTTTTTTTGAAACAATGTTTTAACCATTAACTTTATTTAATTAAGTTAATGTATAAAACTATCACATATTTTAATTTACTCTTTTCAATGACATGTTTATTCATTACTTTTCACTTCTCGAACATTTGCTGAATTTTTTCGTATTTTGTATCACAAATTATATTGCCAGTTATCTAATATCAAATATAATATTGCCAATCATAAACATTTGTAATAATATTGTACTTCAAAGTACAAGAATTTGGATTTTTTTTTAAACAATGGTTAAAATATTAGAGGTAGAAAATGCTGGTGAATCTTTTAATATTTACTTTATTCAAATGAAAATAATAAGACTATCACATTAAATTCATCTTTTTACTGTCATGTTCATTTATTACTCTTCACTTTTTGAACTTTTGCTGAAATTCTTCGTATTTTGTAACACAAATCACATTGTCAATAAATATTTTCAATTATAATTATTTATAATATACTTTTCTTGAGACAATGGTTTAGATATCGCAGGAAACTAATCCTGGAAGAACTTTTGCTATTTACTTTATATAAATAAACGTATAAGACTCACATTTTTTAATTTACTCTTTTTACTGACATGTTTTTTATCAGTTTTATTTCTCGAACTTTTATTGAAATTCTTTGTATTTTGTAATACAAGTCACATTGTTAATTATCTTCTCAATTAATATTTTCAATTATAATCATTTATAATATACTTTTCTTGAGACAATGGTCTAGGAACTCATTCTGGAATGGTCGAGGAAGCTCATCCTGGTAGAACTTTTACTATTTACTTTATTGAACTAAAAAGTATAAGGCTATCACTTTTAATTCACTCTTGTACTGACATGTTTATTTATTACTTTTCACTTCTCGAACTTTTGCTGAAATTCTTCGTATTTTGTATCACAAATCATGGTACCAATCATCTAATCTAATATTGCCAATCATTAACATTTGTAATTATATTGTACAAGAATTTGGAAATTTTTAAACAATGATGTGCATATTAGAAATACGAAATGCTGGTGAAACTTTTACTATTTACTTTATTCAACTACAAATCATCTGGCCTCTCTTTGACTATTGGAATTCATTTTGACTATTAATTTTTTTTACTCTATATTTTCAAATATGCATTAATAAGATGAATGTATATTTTCCCATAAGCTTATTCAATAAATCCAATGTTATCCCGAATCGAGTCAGTAATTTTGCAAGTTTGGAGGTCGTCGGTTTTATAACTTCCACACAAGAGCTGATGTAAGTTTCATTTCGTCTTGGTGGCAGCGCGAGCCAATTTAAATGTCGAGAAAAAGGATTTTCGTGATTTTTCACCCGCGGGATATCTATTACATTGACTCTTTTTGTTCACTTTCCTTCGTTTGGACTTTGATTAATCGATCGATTTAGCCGAAAACCGAGAATTTTGCATCTCGACGAATACTTTCTCGAGGAGCCGACCTTACATGACGTATTTAAAATCTAAATCATCATCATAATGCTCGTAAAATGATGCTGAACCTAATTATGGATGAAAATTTGATGAAACTTGAATTATTAAATAGTTTGCTATGAATTATGCAAGTACAACTTATATAATTTACCATACCATAAATTGCATATAAAACAAAGTAACCTATATAGTAAAAATTCTAAATGCAAGTGTTAAAATATATGATAAAAACTATAAATTATTTCACATATTTTTACACTTTTTAACTTTTTTTCTCTCTTTAAATTATCATATCACGTATATTTAATCAATGACTATTCTTTTATCTAATTATATGTCATCTGATTCCTGAATTTAATATATATAATGTTATAGCAGAGTACCTACTTAGTAATTAAAAATAATATTTTCAAATTCTAGTATTTTATGAAACTTCTCGTTTTATAGAAAATCATTAAGTTATTAAATCATTAATAAAACAGAAATTTTCATTTGCACCAAAAACCAACATTGAATTGTTTTTCCACTTATATTTGCGTTTAATTTTCACACTTTTTCCAATGTTTTTCTTAAATATAATTTTTCTTTTTTACTGTTTATATCATGATCACATAGATATTTTAGTAGCCGATTTACTAATTAAAAAGTATTTGGTTTCGTATTAAATATTGCATGTATTTATATATATACATGTTTTGCTATAAATAATGCAAAAAAAAACATGTATAATTTACCAAATCATAAATTTCATAAAAAGTATTCAGATATTTAGAATCATTAAAACATTCAGAAACATATATCCGTAGTTAGAATGGCGTATTACAAGAACATTTTTTTTAATTTCTAGAATCATTATATGCAATTATGTATACTTTTTGGATAATTCTTCAATATCACCATCTATTATGTCGTTTTTAGTAAATGTCATAAAATTGAAAATAAATCGTAACACTTGCATGTATTTTTCTTATATATTAAAATGAGATTGTGGCGGACATAGCTCAGAGGTAGCATGTCTGACTCACATGCCGGAGATCGTTGGTTCGATCCCTGCCGCTTTCGAATGTAATCAAAAATGTATAAGAATTTCAATTGTAATATGTAGGTAAAAAATGGTTAGAATGTATAAGGTATTAGAATGTATAAAAATTGAATTGGAAAGAATGAGAATGGAAAAAAATGAAATAGTAGAAAGAAGTAAGAAGATAAAAAAGGGAAGAATGAAGATAAGTTGAACTATGTAGAAGAATAGAACTTAGTGAAGAAGATAAGTTGAAAGAAAAGTGTATAATATAAGAAGAGTAGAATGTATATATAGATTATATAATATAAGAAGAGTAGAATGTATGTATAGATTATGATATAAAAATTAGTATAGAATGTAAATAAATGTTGTAGGTGGCTAAATGCTCAGAGTAAGCGAAGCCAAATAAAAAATTTAAAAAATTTAAAAAATTAAAAAAAAAAAAATGAGATTGATATCTTATATTGTAATCTGGTTGAAGATTAAAATTAATGTTTTGAAGTACTTTATTTCACGAAATTATTAGTCAAATTATTTTTTTCAAGTAACAATTATATAAATGTGTGAAAATTTATGAACCTATAAATATGATTTTCATTCTCAAACTGCTGAAATATTTTAAACTTTAAGGGATTGAATTTTATAACTAAATTTTTTGTATGATAATATGTTTGGGCATTTATTTTATGCTGAAACTTCTTTATTTGCTAAATATTTCAACAGTACTAGAATTTAAAATTATTTTAAATTTAACACACGAATTAGGGGAAATATCGACATATTTCCCCTAATTATATATATTAAATATTCACCAATTTTTTGCCTATACATTTTTCTTACATATTAATATTGTAAACAGTCCTGAAAATCACATTTTTTATTATTAGTCGAGATTTATGTTGCAATTATTAAAAAGCTAAAATTCTAAAGGTAGATATATAAACTTATAAATATGATTTTCCTTCTTAAACTTTTAAAATATATATATTGAATTTTAAATAACTACGTTTTGTATCCAACATTTATAGAACTACTGTGATGGGTATTTATTTTATCTCAAATCTTCATGGACTGAGTAAATACTTGAATTTTTATTTATTTTAAATGTAATACAAACAATTCGAAATCAAAACATTTTTAAATGATTATACGTATATACTTATTTCTTATATGACAATATAGTAAGCAATCCTAAAAATGACATCTTTCATTTTTAATCTAAATTTATGCTAAAATTAATAGCAACATTTGTATTTATAAAGTAACCTAAAAGACAATACTTTAATACTATTTTTACATTAATAAATATATTGTAAAACATTTTTAACTGTAATAATATTGAAATCATTTTTACTAACGTGTTTATTTATAACTTTTGCTTGTGGAACTTTTGCTGAAAGTCATTTAATTTTGAATTACGAATCTCGTTATCTGTCATCTTTTCAATTATTTTCTCAATAATGACCTACTTATCCAATAATAATAATAATATTGAATATGATTTTTTGCAGGATTTTAAGAAAATCTATAAACCTTTTTTGCATGTTGTCCGTACAATTCAAGTGATTATTTTCTATACAAATTTTATTTACAGCAAACATTATTATAAGTGATGTTTTGCTAAAAGGCAGGTCCATGATATAAGACTACTACTTTTAATCCAAATTATTTTTACTGACGTATTTATTCATAACTTTTTAAATTATAAATATGATCTTTATTTTCAAACTGCTAAATTGTAAAACATTAGAAATTTAATTGATTTTATATCAAAATTTTCTGTATGGTATATGATGTTTGGGCATTTATTTTATATTAATAATAAAAAAAGCTAAAATTCTAAAGATAGATATATAAACTTATAAATATGATTTTTATTTTTAACTTTTAAAATATATTTAATTTTAAATAATTATATTTTGTATC